TTTTGCTTTATATATATATATGTATTTTATTTTTCTGCAAACTAACGTTAGTTGGACAACACAACATCTTGTTTTGTTAATGCTAGTCCTCATGTAGACCATCCTGTAAATGCTAGTCCACAAAACACATGGGTTTAAGATTTAATGGAAATTACAGTATCCCTATTTAGCGTGACATATATATATATATATATACATATACAAAACTGGCAAAAAGGACCATTCTAGACACTGAAAATATATATATTTATATCTGTATGCTATAGACACAATAATAAGACTTTGTACAACACATTCTCTCTCTTATAAAAGTACAGCCCCCCATGAAATGCACTTATACAAACCTGAAGTACACTAATACAAACCTGAAGTACACTTACACACACACACACACATGAAGTCCAGCAACACACACATACTAGAGGTAAAACAATGCACATAAACCTGACAACAACACTTTCACACCTGATATGCTGTACAACTTAGCATACACTTGAAATGCAACACATTTACTTCCTCGTACCTTTGATTGAATTGTCAAATCTCTATGTACAGTACTGTACACATAACTATTTAACATACAGTATCTCAAAATCCTTCAGCTTGATTTGATCTTCAGAGTCATATCAAGAAAGTATGTGAAATATTACACAAACTTATTCTCCTGATAAGAACCTTATACAGTATAGTGGTTTTCCTTAGTAATATACTGTACAGTATAAACAACTCTCAAGATATTATGCCAAACATCACTCAACATAATTCTCCATGATAAGAATCTCATATAGTAATCTTTTTTTTAAGAACATGAACACATTTTTATAATTATTTGACTTGTCAAAAACTCACCTTTAGTTTTTTAAGAATACACAGATATTAATTAAATTTACTCTTTAGAATTAGAGCAGAGAAACAATGCTAGCAATGTACAGAGAACTATTCAAACTCCTTATTGATCAGAACCTTACTGAACTTTTTAAGAATGTTAACATATCACCAGAAACAGTGATTAAAAACTGTACAGCTTCACTGCAAAATGATTTATAAATATGGTTAATTTTATATAACATACAGGGGGTATATGTCTGGCCTTCTAAGACAAGTTTACTTTGCATTCTTCAGCATATCGTTCGAAGTGGAATATTCAGACAAGGTGAGAATATATTCATTTTTGACATCTTGTAATTTTTTGGTGAATATTTCATATACAGGTGAGTACTGTCTCTTGAACTGTTTTGCATATTGATACATTTACAGCTGTACCTGATACTGAAACTCTTTTGTGATTATTTTGGATTTAGATATACTGTAGATAGGTTATGTCTTCACTCATTTTTGTAACCCTTTCATTTATTTGAATACAGTTAGATACTGTCTAGTTTATTATTCTCCCCTGAAAAGTATTCTGGAGTGTAGCATCCACTTTGTGGTTAATTTTTGGCTGAGGTGGATGTTTGGAGGAATTGCATGTGTTCTGGAAGTGGATACAGGGTGGAGGTGGACTACTTTTTTGGAGTGAGGGTATTGAACTCTTGGAACAATCTGCCAGAGTGTTGTGACAGCACCAAGTGTGAGCTCATTCAAGACCAGACTTGACCAACACTGGTGCAGGTTCAGATACATCCTGGAGCCAGTACAGTGTGTGACAGAGACATGACCGACCGTCCAAGCGGCTAATGAGCTGCATCCAGTTGCCAGTTGTTCAACACCTTTGTTTATTTATGAGTGAAACATCACATCTCTATGAATATGTTTACAAATAAAGCTACATGTCTCAAAAAATAGTAATACTGTAGTAAAAGTTAAAGAACTAAGTGTGTCTATACATGATAAAAGTTACAAATTTAAAAGTTTCATGTCTCAATATGTGATAAAAATATAAAGTTTAAGAGTTTTGTTTATAAATGTTAAAAGAATAAATTTAAGAGCTCAATGAATGATAAAAATATAAATCCATACCTGTAAATGAAAACAAAATAGAGCAAATTATTACTACAGTATTATATCTTTGTCAAATGGTGCACAGTAATGACAGTATTACAGTAAAAATTTACAGTGATGTGGTATGAACATTCCACTGTGATATTTTAATGGTGTAGAGGGACAATACTGTATAGGTAATGATGTAATGTATCATATGCAGTTTTCAAATACATTATAGTCCTGAATACAGTACAGGTATGTATTATCTGTTTCAGTTCTGAATATATAACTATCAACATGTTACAGCTGTGAATGTGTAACTGCCAATGTGTTACAGCTCTGAATACAAATATGTAACTATTATATATCACAATTCTAATGAAGGAGAAGAACTGTAGAGGGAAAAGACCATTAAAATATTTCACAGTAGAAGATTTAACCCTTTGGCTGCTGGAGGTTTCCCCAAGTTGATTGAAATTGTCGGGTGGAAGCCAGAATAAAATTACAAAGTGCTGGAATCACAGTGAAAGGGTTAAATAGCATCTTTCACAAGTTCCCATGATAAACTGATAAAACCTCTATGAAATATAAGTTTCCTTTGTCTGTATATTTCTACTGTGATCCTTTTATTTTTTGTCTTGAAAAATTGATAAACTCTGAGAAAAAACCAATGTCATTTGCTTCTTATGGATAATTTTTCTTTATACCATAAAAAAACAAGACAAAAATAACCATTACCTGTGATGAGACACACACACACACACACACACACACACACACACACACACACACACACACACACAGGGAATGTATCACTTTCTGTAAGACACAGTCACTTAAGCAAAACATCAATAAATAAAGTAATTCCTGGAAATAAATCTTAAGTACTAAAATACAGGTGTTTTCTAAACACAATAGTTACTCACTACCAGTATCATACATCCTTCATTTTTATATCATAAAGTACACCAACTTCAAAATCACAAAAAATCATATCTTATTCTGTCGGCACTTTAGCAAATACAACAAATAATGTAATTCAATTTCATGTACCGGTATCTGGATTTCTGTTGTATTATACTGTACTGTACTGATATACAGTAATGAGAGGTTACAGTTCTCCCTAGCGAGGATCAAAGCCATATCACGGACATTGCTAAACTCAGGCCGTTAGAGCATTTCCAAGACAGGGACAGCTGTAACACTAATGTACACAGAAAACGTACGGTATATCTAATTATTAAATAAAGAGATATTCGGAGATATTCATGGTAGTATTATACATATGATTAATCTTTCCCTCTCAGAACCAGAAAGAAAAAATATCAATCTTCGTCAATAAGGATATCAAAGTTTAGAGATACTGTACTGAATAAAGGTGCCATATGTAGTTTAGCATAGCTTACAGCGAGCACCAATGCATGAAGCAATCCTTCTCAATACTGTACTATACTACTGGTTTTCTTTCTCAAGGGATTACTGCAGGTGATCAAACAACAGTACAAGTACAGTACTGTACTGCCCAGATCTCATAATACTCTAACAGTATTCTAATATCAAATTGGAAGCTCTGACACAAATAACTTGTCGACTAAGCCACGCCCAAATTTGCAGATGTGACCGAGCAACTCACTAATATGAAACCAATAATATTTTATGTATACTTTGGGAATGCCAAAAGTGGATGGAGCTTAGCAGACAGGTCAGTTATTAAAAGTGAACACATGTATTTAAGTTAACAGTAAAGTAAGACAATTATTGCAGATTCACTGCTGTATGAAAAATAGACAATCTCATTCATTATGTTTTGTCATGATACACAATGTACTGCAAATAACATTCATTAAAAATTTGTGAAAGAAACTGTGTAATGTTCACTCAGTGCAAAGTACAGCATGAAGAAGATGAATAATGACATGAAATGGAAAGATACAAAATACTGAATAAAATACGACAAGAAGGAAGGTTAAAAGAATGAATATGATAAATTAGTCTAAAACTTTAGCTTTCCCTAATTAATAAAGGAAGCTGTTCTGGATGATTAAGAAAAAAATATCCATAAAATTTTACACAAATGTCAATACCAAGTTAGGAACATATTTAACGCTTAGGAAGATGTGAGGGTGAAAGTGGGTCCTATAGACCTAATGGCCCCATTAGTGGCAGCCTGGGCACAGCACACTAAAGACTAAATTTCCAGTTTACAAAGAGGCAGAGTGACTGGACTGGCGCTGCAGTCCACTGCCTTTCTTAGTTAACTTCAAAGTTAGGTACCTATCCACAGCTGGGCTGATTGAAGGTGTCCCAGGAATGAATTAGCAGCAACAATGAAGACCGAAGGTGATCTCTTCATGAACTTGACCAAGAGGATGTACAAGTAAAATAAAACAAATTCCTATGTAAAAGAGCTACAGTTCACCAGTTTATAATGCAGATGTTAGTGATATATTTGAAACTCTTGACTTATGTGATGTCCAATAGAATGTATAAACAAAATAACGTAAAATTCCGTGAAAAAGACTAATAATTACTCCAACTCTGACCAAACCAACAGATTAAGTTTTTCACATACCCTGGGCCACAGCTCAACTGTTAATAATCACATTTGTGCCTCTTTTCTTGGACCATTTCAGATAAGAGAGATTCAGATGGGGAAACAGTCAGTATGATTCATGTTAAAACTCTGTTGAAGATATTATTTTATGCTCCAATCACAAGAATATTTGATTAATGAACATGATAATGGTGTGTGTGTGTGTGTGTGCAGAGAACAGTCAGAGCACACATTTGCCAGCACAACATAGCAAGTTGCTCGGTGGTTTTCTACAGTTCTGTCTAGTTGATCTTAAAAAAAAAATTCAGCACACCCACTGTTAGTAGTTTATACATGACCAAGAAAAGACATAGGAAGCATCAAAAACTTACATGAGAGTCGTTGTACATTCTGGGGTACATTTTGGTGGATGAATTTGCTTATTTTCTTTGATTAGGACTTTGCCAATACAGTACCAGCTGGGTAAACACAGGTGGTCTTAACAACACCAGCCTAAGAGGTGAATTTTTCATCTGCACAAATGGTATACTGTACTGTACTGTGGTTCAACCAAAAGTATACAGTGATTTAATCAAAGGTATACAGTTCCTCAAACTTACATAGCTATGGTAGGGGGAGGTGTTGGGTCAAGGCAATATGGCAATGAAAAAAATAACAAAGGTGTTGGACTGTTGACACAGGACCATTTCAAGGAATTACCATGATTCTGAGTCACTAATTTGGGGCAACCAACTGATGTTTATGGCCAAATTTCTATTACACATGATGCTGAACCTGACTTACAAAACACAGCCATTAGTAGCATATAAGGAATGCAAAAAAGGATTATTTAATGATCTGTTAATTACAGGTTTGAGGTCCCCATTTCGTCATACAAGTAAACACAATACAATTTGTTGTTAACACTACTAAAGACTCCCTGACACAATAGATTCTACTGTCAAATATCATCAAAATGTTCATTGCACAAAAGCTAAAATAATATTATGCAATAAGTTGGTATCTTGTAGAACATTTCAACCCTTTGAGTATGAAAGAGAATATGTAATTATATTCACAAGGGTTAAAACACTGTACTCAAAGGACCGAGTCAAAATACAGTACTGTACTCAAAGGGTTACGTCATCATACTTAAGAGGTTTGGGTATTTTATTTAGTGGGCTAATTCATTGCACTTGGAGGGATAGCACAAGGGGTTAAGAAATCTTACTCAATTGGTTGCTTCAGTACATTGAGGGGTTGGCATTACTGTACAGTATATTCAATATACAACAGAAATTTTCCATGCAGATCACTCAAAATGTGTTAAAAAATATATAGTTTTGCCTTAGACTGAACACCCATTAAATTAGAGGTATAACAGTACAGTACCATATTTTGTATTTCTTTAATTTTTTTCTCAATTGTATTCCATCAACCACATAGTCTTTTTTCCTCTAAAACATTGACCCTGAATTTCACGAACTCTGAAGACAGCTCCTGATAATTTATTTTTTCAAAGATAATAATAGAGAAAGTTTTTAAAATCAAGTTTTAGGCAGACTTATTTTAAACAGAAAATAGAATTCTTGGGTAAATATTTTGAGCAAATATGTCTCATAAGTTCATCAATACTGTATATAAACACCCTTCATCATTGTATGCTGCTGTACTTAGTAACTGTCCACATCTAGTTATTCATTTCTGCAAAACTTTTGATAATGCTAAATTTAACCTCAGCATTTGAGACATAGATTGTTCCAGTAATTTGCAAGACTTGGCTTCCTTGAGAAAGACATTATTCCTCTTGTACATTGCCTACACCAGTATATAGTACTGTAAGAATATCACCATCCTATGCACAAAAAATCTCGGACTAAGACACTGTACACTGTTCCTCACTTTATATTGTACTTCAGATCCCTCCTTCATCAAAAGCTTTGCTCATGTCATCTACAATAGTCTGGAGTGTTGGACGATGGGGAGTATCAGGTCTGAACATCTCTTCCAGGAAGGCCGGTTCAGCAAAGAAGTCGAGGACGTGATCTATCCTTCCAAGACTCTTGTCTGTCAAGTGATTCCCCACCAGCTGTTTCAGGAGGCTTCGGCAGTCGTTGATGATCTTAGTGAGAAATACCTTGTCAAAGGTGAAGTCAACTTCAAAGAAGCTGATGACTGTCTTGACGATTGTTGTAAACTTGTTTCGTAACTGTAAGAGGCAATAAATATTGTTACTATCCCTTATTGATGAAATCTTCATTTGTATCTACCGCAGGGAAGAAAGTTTCAGAATCTACACCAGATTAAGTGGTCAGGTGTGTGACTGAGGCCAAAGAAAGACTCCGTTAGTAAAAGAAAACTTATACTGTACTCAAGCAGAGACCATGTGGGCCTTTATGACTGATTAAGCTTTACCTTTTACTGCTTGTAACCATAAAAACACAAGTACACTACAGTACAGTATAGTCCACAGATAAAAAGACTGTTTAGACATCTCATCAGCTCAGAAATAACACCAACCACTGGGCACTATCGCAAGTGTTTGCAATATTTCGAAATACCATAAGGTACCTATTTTGTAGAGCCAGGTATGAAATGTAACTGTTACCAATGCACTGTCAGTATATCACAAAATCTCGTCTTACACTTTGTAAAAAAAAAAAATATTTTGTTCATTATACCGATTTTGATGAAACATATAAAGAACAAAGCAAAATTTGTTACTGAACTGTACAGGGCCTGACTGGCTCCAACACCTGACATAAACATAATTGAAAACCCATAACGGTGAACTTGAAATCCCTGCATAACACCTTCACCGACAGAAAAATGCATTATGAAGATTTGTTTGTCATCCATCAGGACATTCAAGAAAACTTCACTTCCAAATACAGTACATCATAAACTTCTACTCAACTACTGTGCCCCACAACATATCCTGGGAACATATATGAGAAAAATCTCCTTATGGTATTAAAGTATGAGTTTTCCCATTATTATGAAGATATATGGTACACCAGGCCTTTTATAACTTGCCCTTTATTATACAGTACTGGCCACTATAATTCAGTAGGTCAATTATTTTTCAGTTACTGTAGTTTATTTTATAAATTAACCACATTGTAGTTTAATATTATCTTAAATGTCAGTCATTTACCCAACAGATTATTGTCTAAGTTGGTTATTGAACGAGTCAGATATTGTTCAATTATTTCTAAGGCCAATAGTACATAGATCAGGTTACGTAGTTATCGTGGGAATCAATTACTGCATTCCTAACATGCCGAAATTATTATGTACACTACAGAGTAACCATGACCCCATTTGACCTGACTGATCCTAGTTGACCTTGCCTGATCTTGGTTGAGTAGATCTATGGTTAATTATCTTCCACAATGGTTGTTGTTGAGTCGGTTCCTGGCATAAACGACCACATTAGGGTTGTTAACTTCCCACTTTGAGACTATTAACTTAATTGACCACTTTGATATCCATAACTTACATCTCTGACTGGCTACTTTGAGGCCCTTAATTTACCTAATTAGCCACTTTAACATCCAAACTTACCTAATTGACCACTTTAACATCCAAACTTACCCAATTGGCCACTTTAACATCCAAACTTACCTAATTGACCACTTTAACATTCATAACTTAACCAATTGGCCACTTTAGCATCCAGAAATATTGCCTGTGACAACATTGTAGGTGACTATGAATTTGAAGACTTCCTAAATGCAGTACAGGACAATTTTTTGAAACAACTAATTACAGAACCTACTAGAGGTGACAATATATTACACCTAGTATTAATAAATAAAGAAAATATTATCAGAGATATCACAGTAGGGGAAGAACTAGGTAACAGTGATCACAGAGAAATCAAGTTCACCCTAAATTGGGAAACAAAAAACAATGACAATATGGTCAGAGTCCCAAACTTTCGGTTGGTGGATTATCAGGGGTTAAGAAGGTACCTAGGTGAGGTCACCTGGGAACAGCTTCGCCAGTCTTGTAGAAGGGCAGAGGTCATGGGATGACACAACAATTGATCATGACTATAATATATTCTAATTAGTATACTACATAAAGCACAAGAACAAAAATATACCATACAGAAAAATTAGGTCAAATAAGAATGAGCCAAGGTGGATGACCAGAAAACTTAAACATGACATAGGAATAAAGAAAGAAATATATAAGAAATTAAAGGGAGGGGAGGAGCAGCTCAGAAACAGGTATAATGAACTATCTAGGAATGTTAAGAAAAATGTAAGGAAAGCAAAGAGAGACTATGAAATCAAAATAGCAAGAGAATCCAAGGCGAATCCCAAGGGATTTTTCCAGGTATATAGGACAAAGGTCAAGGACAAAGTTGGGCCTTTAAAATCAGGAAGGGGAGAAGTGATAAATGGCAGTGAAGAAATAAGCAAAGCATTGAACAGCTACTTATCAGTTTTCACAGAAGAAATTTGGGATGAAATTCCAGAGGTGGAACTGATATTTAAGGGAAAGGAAGAAGAGAAATTAAAGAATATCACTATCAGAAAAGAGGATGTTCTTAAGAAGATAAATAAACTAAAGAAAACAAAATCCCCAGGACCGGATGAAATTTTCCCTCGAGTCTTGAAAGAGTGTAGGGAACAGATTAGCGAACCCATCGTAAACATATTTATAAAATCATTAGACACTGGAGTTGTGCCAGACTTGTGGAAACAGGCAAATGTAGTACCCATATTCAAAAAGGGAGAGAGAACATCAGCGTCAAATTACCGGCCGATCAGTTTGACGTCAGTAGTGGGGAAATTTCTTGAATCAATTATAGCAGATAGCATCCGATCGCATCTAGAGAAAAGCAAATTAATCTACGACTCTCAACGTGGGTTTACAAAGGGAAAATCTTGTCTAACAAATCTGCTAACGTTTTTTAGGAAAGTCTTCGAGGTAGTAGATAATGACGAAAATTATTATGTTATTTACTTAGACTTTAGCAAAGCATTTGACAGAGTACCGCATCAGAGGCTTCTGAGAAAAATTAAGGCTCATGGTATCGAGGGGAAAGTTTTAAATTGGATAAAATCATGGCTCACCGATAGAATGCAGAGGGTCAGCGTAGATGGTGTTAAATCCGAGTGGGGCCGTGTAACCAGTGGGGTTCCCCAGGGTCAGTACTAGGCCCACTCTTGTTCATAATCTACATAAACGATCTAGATACTGGGATCAGCAGTGACATAAGCAAGTTTGCGGATGACACCAAAATAGGGCGGCAAATTAATTCAGGGCAGGATGCAAATACTATAGGAGGATCTAAATAAAGTGCAGGGGTGGTCTGAAAAATGGCAAATGAAATTCAACACCAGCAAGTGCAGCGTACTTAATATTGGAAGAACAAATACTTATAATGTATACAGCCTTAACAATATCAACCTAGAGAAGTCGACTTGTGAAAGAGACCTAGGGGTACTTGTAAGCCCGGACCTACGGCCTAGAAAACAGTGCGTTAATGTTCGAAATAAGGCAAACAGAGTATTGGGTTTTATATCTAGAAGTGTAAGTGACAAGAGTGCAGAGGTCTTATTGCAACTACAGTATATCTTGCGCTAGTCAGGCCGCACCTCGATTATGCGGTTCAGTTCTGGTGCCCCTATTATAGAATGGATATAAATTCACTAGAGTCGGTGCAGCGAAGAATGACAAAAATGATTCCGGGACTTAGAAACCTTCCATATCAGGATAGGTTAAAGAAACTTAACTTGCATTCCCTAGAAAGACGAAGAGTGCGGGGATATGATAGAAGTATTCAAGTGGGTGAAAGGAATCAATAAAGGGGATATAGATAAAGTTCTTATAATATCCGAGCAGGATAGGACTTGGAGCAACGGATTCAAGTTGGATAAGTTTAGGTTTAGGAGAGAGATAGGAAGAAACTGGTTCACAAATAGGGTGGTGGACGAGTGGAACAAGCTTAGCAACTTTGTAGTAAGTGCGGGAACTCTGGAAAGTTTCAAAAGGAGGCTAGATAGATTCATGGATGATGGAGAGTGGTAGTAGCTCTCGACAGGAGCTGCCATGCACAGGCCAACCGGCCTATTGCAGACTCCTTATTTTATTATGTTCTTATAACTTAACCAATTTGCCACTTTAACATTCAAACTTAACCTAATTGGCCACTTTAACATTCATAACTTACACTTCATCCTTGACCACTGATGGGTCAAGACGGGTCAGACGCACCTGGCACTGCTCAGCAGCAGCCACGTCAACTATTATGTTGGCCCACCAACTCCCTCCCCTGAACCCTCCTCCCCACCGGAATAACAACAAGTTCTCGCCAGAAGTTACTATTTCATTTGGGAAAGGAATGGAACTAGTGTTGAATAGTGGTCAACGGTGCTTAAGTTAGTGAAAAACAACTCAGCAGTTACAGTTGAGTCTTACCCAAGCTAACCTTCACACAGTGAGGTCCCAGGTACCCAGTGATAATTCCCCTGAGGCTCCACGATAGAGAGGCCTGGGACCACACCTTACCCACTTGAGTGAGTGAAGTCCTGTGACAACAGACCACGTGGTGTCCCCACGATGCTACACCACGTAGTGAATGAGTTGCTACAGCATCATGTGAAGTTCCTCATAACACCATCTGTGAGGGAATTACTATGCCATGTGATGCCCCTCATAACATCATCTGTGAGGGAATTATTACACCACATCAGGCCCCTCATATACCATCTGTGAGGGAATTACTACGCCATGTGATGCCCCTCATAACACCATCTGTGAGGGAATTACTACACCACATCAGGCCACTCATACACCATCTGTGAGGGAATTACTACGCCATGTGATGCCCCTCATAACACCATCTGTGAGGGAATTACTACACCACATCAGGCCCCTCGTAACACCATCTGTGAGGGAATTACTACACCACGTCAAGCCCCTCATAACACCACCTGTGAAGGAACTAGTACTCCACGTGATGCCCCTCATAACGCCATCTGTGAGGGAGTTACTACACTACGTGTCTGCTGTTCAACACCTCAGCTCACATGATCTATGTGTGTAAACATTAATCTGTATGTTCCTTCACCTTTCTCTAATGAAGGCCTTTGTTAAACCACCAATGTATGTAATAAGTCATTTATGTCCAATATATATTTTCAGCCTTCAGGCTGCAAACTTTTTCAATAAACCGTTTATTATTATTATTATTATTATTATTATTATTATTAATTGGCCACTTTAACAACCATAACTTAACCAATTGGCCACTTTAACATCCAAAACTTACCTAATTGGCCACTTTAACATCCAAACTTACCTAATTGGCCGCTTTAAAATCCATAGTTTACCTATTTGGCCACTTTAACATCCATAACTTACCTAATTGGCCACGTTAACATCCATAACTTACCTAACTGGCCACGTTAACATCCAAACTTACCTAATTGGCCACTTTAACATCCATAACTTACCTAATTGGCCACTTTATCATCCATAACTTAACTAACTGGCCACTTTCAGGTCCTTAACACACCTAATTGGCCACTTTCAGGTCCTTAACACACCTAATTGGCCACTTTCAGGTCCTTAACATACCTAATTGGCCACTTTCAGGTACTTAACATACCTAATTGGCCACTTTCAGGTCCTTAACATACCTAATTGGCCACACAGATTTCCGTGAGTTTACCTGATTGGCCACTTTAAGGTCCTCTGGAGAGAACTGGTCATTTCGGTACAGGATGTTGATCTTGACGACAATCTTGATGATATTTTTAACAATTTTCTCAGCTTCCTTTTTGTTTCCAGTCTGCAAGAACAAGAGAGTTAAGTGGCAATTATACAAGGGGAATTTTTTTTTATTATTTCATATATTTATTAACTTGTTTTACTTACCGTCTTCTTTTTTTTACCGAATAAGCTTGTGTGTGTGTGTTTCTCGTTGAATTTCTGCAGTTGCTAAGTTTCATAAAATAAATAGAGGATATTACAGAATACAGTACAAAGATTGATTCAAAGATACAACTATAAAATATTAATACAAATGTCCATATTAAACTCAGCATTAATGGAAATGTATTTAAAAATTACTTATCATTTGTCATAATTCTCACTTTAGACTCCGACACGACAGCAACACATTACTATTCCTGTTGTGTTGATTTATTTAAGCCACGTTTCCACCCGTATTCCAACACATTCCCACGTTAATAATTTTTACTCACAGCTGGGAATAAGATATCAAAGAACAATGCAAGTTATTTAAGGTTAATTTTAAGGTTTGTTCTCATTTTCTTCGTCATATTTGTCCAGCGGCTTTGAGTAAAAGTATTATAGGGATCCTTGAACACGTCGAACAAGGGTGAGAATATTCGTGGGGGGTCGCATAAAGGCTCGGGAATGGTTACGTCCGGGATAGTGTGTCTGTGATGTACAGTATGTGACTCCGTGACGTCATGGACACTTCCGGTAGAGACAACGAGTTTTCTGACACTGTGGTAATGAGGATAATAATAACAATGACGGTAGGGAGAGTTACATTGGGACTTTTACCTCATGTTAATTAAGTGTATTCTGAACGGAGGCGTCGGAACTCCCTTGGTGGGCGTTCTCTATTTCCACATACCATCTTGATCTGCTTAGTGTTTGTTCTACGGTATACACAAGAAGTTTTGTCTCGGCTTGGTGACTGGTAGTGTGTGTGTGTGTGTGTGTGTGTGTGTGTGTAGTATGATAACATAACATTCTCTTGGACACGAAACTAGGATTTTTTTTTTCAAAGGTGAGGTAATAACAAGAATGGGATAAACACAAGGAGTACCAGGAACTTGAAACACACGTCACTTATTATATATATGTAAATAACAGCTACGCTCCCCGCCATTACCTGACAGAAAAAACAGACATGAGTGTTTGTTATCCAGTAGAGCAACGCCATAACACTACTCTATTTACATATTAGAAAGTAACATCTATTATTGCTTGGGGGGGGGAGAGGGAGAAAGAGAGGAGGGGAAGGGAAGGTAAGGAAGAAAGGAGGAGGAAGAGGGGGAAAGGAGAAGAAAAAGAAAGGGAAGGAGGGGGGGAGGAAGAAAAGAGGAGGGGAGGAGCAAGAGACAGAAAGGGGGAAGAGGAGGAGGATGAAGAGGGGAGGGAGAAACACGGGAAGGGAAGAGAAAGGAAGAAGGGGAAGAAGAGAGAGAGAGATGACCCGGTAACCGCACCCCCTCCCACCCTGTCCCCTCACACACACACACCGTTCCGTTCCCTGTGTGTGTGTACTATGACGTGTAAGTGAACGTAATAAAGGCACAGTACGCAATTACAGCATTAAGTTGATACGTTGGCTTAATCCAGGAGTAAACTTTAATGTTAAAAGCCTTTATTAGGTTAAGCGTATCAAGTGAAGATTAGCCCCCACCTCCCCTCCCCTCCCCCCGCCCTTCCTACCTTATCTCACCTGCGAATTAAATAACCTAACGCTACCTGAGAGGGGGTGGGGGGTAGGTTAGGTTAGGTTAAAGGTGTTTAATCATCAAGCGAAATAAGCTGGGAGGTTTAGTCTTCATATAATCCGGTTTAAGTTAAGTTAGGTTAGGTTAAGTCTGGTTTGGTTGGATTAAAATTGGCCAGATTTGGGTTACTATGGGTTAGGTGAAGTTTGGACAAGTTCAATAAGAATAAAGTTTAGGTTTACTTATAAATAATATTAGCCCAAGTGTACGGTAACTTAACTCAAAGGGTTAACGATCGTACTCAAGGGGTTAAATTATCGCACTCAAGGGGTTAAATCATCATACTGAAGGTGTTAAATTACTGTACTCAAGGGTTGAATTATGTCATGAGTTAAATCGTCGTACTCAAGGGATTAAGCCATCATACTCAAGGCGTTAAATCATCGTACTCAAGGGGTTAAGTCATCGTACTCAGGGGGTTAAGCCATCGTACTCAGGGGGTAAAGCCATTGTACTCAGGGGGTTAAGCCATCATACTCAAGATGTTAAGTCATCGTGCTCGAGGCGTTAAGTCATCGTGCTCACGGGGTTAAGCCATCGTACTCAAGGGGTTAAGTCATCGTAATCAAGGGGTTAAACCATCGTACTCAAGGGGTTAAACCATCGTACTCAAGGGGTTAAGCCATCGTACTCAAGCGTTAAGTCATCGTGCTCAAGGGGTTAATGCTATATACGTAAATACTGTAAAAGTTAAATAGCTTTAGTACGTAACTCGTCGACATTTTGAGTATGGTGTCATTTGGTGTGTGACATTTCCCAACATCCGGACGTCTTGAGCTCATCCGCTCTACAATATATACAAGACCAAGACCTCTCAGACAAGAAAATAAAAGACAATAAATAAAAATAAAACAATTAATTCCACACACAGTATAATCATAAATTACACAACTAAAATAAACAGATTACAAGCCTACGATTTCTTTATTTTGGTGTACGACAATTTGTCACAAGGTTCGGCAGCAACTACAAACAGATACCCGTTACCAGACGCACGATACCATCAGCTTCGGGATACAATGTAACACTGATAAGAATACAAGTGTTGGTATTTAAGTAATACTGTTATCACAAGGGTTAAAAGTATTTCATATTAATAAGTAAATACATAAATACTAAGATAATTATTCATGTACTGTATTATTATTATTATTATTATTATTTCCACTACTACTACTACTACCACTAAGAATAATAATAATACTAATAACAATATAAACATTCTGATCGCACCATAATAAGACGTTACATATAATACAACGCAGGGAATGATGTAATGCGTCGGAAATACCGTTGCCAGGACAACGAAGAGCCCCGTTGTCCTGCCCTAAAGCACCGTTGCCACATCTCACAAGAGGTCACAGAGAAGAAGACATAATGACAGGACAGGACACACTGTCGTGGCTATAAGTCATTAATGTCTTAGCTGAAGTGATTTTCGGGGAATTACAATGGAATATTATATTGTTTTAATTCAATCAGTTTCCGGTGTGTGTGTGTGTGTGTGTGTGTGTGTGTGTGTGTGTGTGTGTGTGTGTGTACGTATTTAAGAACATGTAGGATATTCGTGTGTGTAACAAACCAACACATGATAGACTTAATCTCCCAAATGACAACGTCGCTTCATTATTTCCCGGGCGACTAATTTCCTCATTAGCCAAAATCTATCTCTTACACACACACACACACACACACACACACACACACACACACACACACACTTTGATGCTTTTTCCGAGTGGTTTTTTTAAATGCACTTCATATGTATTTTTCTATATAAACATGAAACTTTCTTTGTACGAAGTTCTTGTGTGTGTGTGTGTGTGTGTGTGTGTGTGTGTGTGTGTGTGTGTGTGTGTGTGTGTGTGTTGTGTAAATAAGCTTTGCAAGAGTTTCTGTGTCGCAACGGCCAAAAAATCGCCATCATAATTACCACCATCATCATACTCGTCACACACCACCATCATTATCATACTCGTCACACACACCACCACCATCATCATCATACTCGTCACACACACCACCACCATCATCATCATACTTGTCACACACACCACCACATCATCACCATCACCTCGTCACACACACCATCACCATCATCACACTCGTCACACACACCACCACCATCATCATACTCGTCACACACCACCACCATCATCATCATCACACACACCATCACCATCATCATACTCGTCACACACACCACCATCATCATACTCGTCACACACACCACCACCATCATCATACTCGTCACACACACCACCACCATCATCATACTCGTCACACACTATCACCATCATACTCGTCACACACACCACCACCATCATCATACTCGTCACACACACCATCATCACATCATCATACTCGTCACACACCACCACCATCATCATACTCGTCACACACACCACCACCATCATCATACTCGTCACACACACTATCACCATCATCATACTCGTCACACACACTATCACCATCATCATACTCGTCACACACACCATCACCATCATACTCGTCACACACACCACCATCATCATACTCGTCACACACACCCACATCACCATCATCATCATACTCTGTCACACACACCACACCATCATCATACTCGTCACACACCACCACCATCATCATACTCGTCACACACACCACCACATCATACTCGTCACACACACCACCATCATCATACTCGTCACACACACCATCACCATCATCATCACACACCATCACCACCACCATACTCGTCACACACCACATCACACACACCACCACCATCATCATCATACTCGTCACACACACTATCACCATCATCATACTCGTCACACACACCACCACCATCATCATACTCGTCACACATCACCATCATCATACTCGTCACACACACCACCACCATACTCGTCACACCACCACCACCATCATCATACTCGTCACACACACCATCACCATCATCATACTCGTCACACACCATCACCATCATCATACTCGTCACACACCACCACCATCATCATACTCGTCACACACACACCACCATCATCATCACACACTCATCATACTCGTCACACACACCATCACCATCATCATCACACCATCATCATACTCGTCACACACACCATCACCATCATCATAATCGTCACACACACCACCATCACCATCATCATACTCGTCACACACACACCATCACCATACTCGTCACACACACACCATACTCGTCACACACACCACCACCATCATCATACTCGTCACACACACCATCACCATCATCATACTCGTCACACACACATCATCATACCGTCACACACACCACCACCATCATCATACTCGTCACACACACCATCACCATCATCATACTCGTCACACACACCATCACCATCACCATACTCGTCACCACACACCACCACCATCATCATACTCGTCACACACACCATCACCATCATCATACTCGTCACACACACCATCACCATCATCATAATCGTCACACACACCACCATCACCATCATCATACTCGTCACACACACACCATCACCATACTCGTCACACACACCATCACCATACTCGTCACACACACCACCACCATCATCATACTCGTCACACACACCATCACCATCATCATACTCGTCACACACACCATCACCATCATCATACTCGTCACACCACCACCATCATCATACTCGTCACACACACCATCACCATCATCATACTCGTCACACACACCATCACCATCACCATACTCGTCACACACACCACCACCATCATCATACTCGTCACACACCACCACCATCATCATACTCGTCACACACACCACCACCATCATCATACTCGTCACACACACCATCACCATCATCATACTCGTCACACACCATCACCGCCTATTCTACCCTATCTGATCCTAATCTACCCTAACTTAACCTAACCAAACCCTACCCAAACCTAACCTTACCTTGATCAAACTAACCCTACCCTAACCTAACCTAACCTAACTAACCTACCCTAGCCAAACCTACCTTAACCTAGTTTACCATACACTACCCCGTTGTTCGGTAGATGCAGCCAGTTTATGGTGAGTAAATCAATATTTATTAAAAGAATAATCTTCACACACACCATTACTGTTTCATCACCTAAGAGTAAGTAACGCCAAAAACGTAACAGTGAAATAAGTATAAATAGTTAATGATATAAACATTTTTAACTTGTGTGAGTTTACGGGCCAAGTTCAGGGCGCGGTCTGTGGCCTTGGGTCACGGGAATTAACTATGGTTGAGTAAGTCCAAGTGGGGTCACGGGCGGTGGTCACATTAGGGTTCAACTAATGAAGTACTTCTAGAATAACACAAAACAATCTCAAAAATCAGTAACTCGGAAAACCATGGTTGGTGAATAATTAGTACTGAAATAATATAATTAAAATTTCCCAAGCGTCATTACGACCACTAATTACCCTGCAATCCACCGTGGACCATAGATTCTGAATCACCATGCTCAGGAGTACCTATAATGAGATTTTAAAACGAAATCTAAGTTTGGGCTGATGTGCCTATAGGCTGCTTCCCACTGTATAGTTCCTCAGGCGCCAAGATTAACAGTATACATTGTTCTGGTGGGTGCGTCTACAGTGTCTCGTGAGCAAGACAAATGCTGCAACTGTAGGACAAAAATCAACATATTCACAGACTGCTTCACTCA